GGATTCGAACCCGCCACCTTTGGTGTATGTGGCTGGCGCCTTAGCCGGTTGAGCTATAGGCGCCGAGTCGATTATGTCCATTTTAAAGATAAGATTATTGAAGCTCAGGGAGGTTATGTAAGTTGCTCAAAGACATAAGTAGTAAATGATGGAGCCAGAATTCTAATGAAGTATAATATTCTAGTTCTTATAACCAACTGTGAATAGTTAGCATTTATAAAACCTAAAGCTCTGTCTGTGGCTGGCCCAAGTCTGTTAAGCAGAACTGCGTTTTTAGATTCATATGTATTAGTTATTTAAAACCACACCAAGAGGACTTGGTGCTTGTAATATGTAAGGGATATGAAACAATGGAAAAAAACTACAATAGTGACTTTTTTAAAAAATGAAGTAAAAACAGAGGAATTTTGCAGGTAAACTAGTAAATATTGAGGACTTAATTTTTTTTTTTTTTTTTTTTGAGACACAGTTACACTATATTGCCCTCGTCACAGCACACACCAACCTCAAACTCTTGGGCTTAAGCGTCCTCAAACTATGGCCCATGGGCCGTGTGCGTCCCGCTGAGAACATTTATCTGGCCCGCTGGGTGTTTTTGCCACAGCTGCCTGACCTGCTTAGCAACCGACTGGTCTGCCTCTCCAATGGTCTGAGGGGCAATGAACTGGCCCTCTGTTTAAAAAGTTTGAGGACCCTTGTTAGGTGCCCGCCACAATACCCAGCCCTCTTTGTTGCTGTTGTTGTTGTTGTTGTTATTGTTGTTGTTTCAGTTGTCATTGTTGTTCAAACCTGCCAGCCCTGGTGTATGTGGCCAGCCCCCTAACCATTGAGCTATGGGCACCAAGCCTTGAGGACTTAATATTAAAGAATGTTTATTTACTGTCAATTCTATGGCCCCAAATTATACAATTCAGAGAACAATAAAAACTTGAATTAAAAAAACATTTCCAGAAACCAGCCACAGGTCCTTGGAGTTTTATGTGTCTAGAACATGCTTCTTTAATTTTATTTGTGATCTTGCACTCACCCTTTTCTTTCACATAACACAGAAAAAGTCTGGGGATGTTGCCCGAGCACGTGGAAGTCATTTGGTTCCAGCTGCTACCTCATTTCTACTCAATACGATGTTTGGACAAAGAGTGAGCAGAACTGTGTTGAGATGGGGGCACATTTGGTTGTGATCAATACAGAAGCAGAGCAGGTACTTTTTCATTTTTCTTTTCTTTTAAAGATAATATTGTAGAAGATTAATTTTTATTTAAAATATTTTAATTGTGGAAAAAATATTTTAAACATTCTTTAAACATTCTTAAGTGTTCAGTTTACTAGTGTTTACTATCTACACATTTTTGTGTAACAGATCTCTAGAACTTTTTAATCTTACAAAACTAGTACTCTCTCTATTCATTGAACAACTACCAATTTTCCTATTGCTGAAGGCCCTGGCGATCATTATTCTACTTTCTTTTTTCTTTTTTTGCAGTTTTTGGCTGGGGCTGGGTTTGAACCTTCCACCGTATATGGGGCTGGTGCCCTATTTCTTGAGCCACAGGCGCCGCCCTATTCTACTTTCTATTGCTATCAATTTGACTACTTTGGGTGCCTCATATAAGTGAAATTATGCAGTATTTGTCCTTTTATGAATCAATTATTTCATTTAGTATAATGTCTTCAAGGTTTATCCATATCCAGGATATTCTTCCATTTTAAAGCTGAATATTTTCTTTTTGTTTGTTTTATTTGATTTTTTTCCCCAGATTTATTGAACTGTGATTGATAGGTAAAATTTAAAGTGTACAGTGTGATGATTTAATATATATATGTACTGTGAAATGATTAACTAATCAAGCTAATTAAAATGTCCCTTAACTCAGTTAACTTTCTTCTTTTTTGTGATGAGAATACGTAGAAATTCCATTACTTTCCCTTTATTTGTTGATTTTCATTTAAATTGTTTCAATTTCATGGCTACTGTGAATGATGCTACAATAAATCAATAAATATGGGTGTGCAAATATCTCTTTGAGATTCTGCTTTCAGTTCTTTTTTTTTTTCTGCTTTCAGTTCTTTTGAATATATACCCTCTGCTTACGTTGAACTAAGTGGGAAAAACATTCACCAATCATGCTGGCTACAGATTCTAGGCATTGCTCAAAATATTTCTGGTGATAACTCTTTTCTGCACATGTGTGTGGGCATTGTGGCAGGTGCCTTTAGTCCCAGCTACTTGGGAAGCTGAGGCAAGAGAATCACTTAAGTTCAAAAGTTGGAGGTTGCTGTAAGGTATGACGCCATGGCACTCTACCAAGGGCAACAAAGTGAGACTCTGTCTCCAAAGGAAAAAAAAAAAGAAAAGAAAAGAAAAAAAATTAATTTCAGTTTGCCTCAAGAAAATTACCTATAGGAAAATGATCTGGACATATCTAAAGGTATTTTAGAAGCCCAATTGGAAAAATGAGAGTAATTATGTTTTATAAAATAAATTCACTACAGTTAAAATCTAGTGAGCTCTCTTTTATGTTTAACTTCTAAGTAATTTAGTATTTCTTAGGGAAGGCATAGTTAGGAGAATAGAGAAACAAATTTGTATTTTAAGAGACCAAATGTAATTTTACTGAAAAACCATCAGGAATAAATATGCAACACATCTGTATTACTTAAGGTGATCCAGAGAAACTACATGTCTATACATATACACATATTTATTAATACACAGATACATATGTTTTATATATACACATGTGGAGAGATTATGAAGAATTTGATCATATGATTATGGAGGCCAAGAAGTACCATAATATATTTGTAAGCAGGAGACCCAGGAAAGTCAGTGATATAACACCAGTTCAAGTCCAAAGGCCTGAGAACTAGAAGAGCCACTGGTTTAAGTCTTAGTATAAGGGCAGTTGGGGACTTATTTCTCAGCTCTAAATGGCTCTAAAGGCTATCAAGAACCCTTAGCCTGCACAATCTGGAAATTCCGAAGTCTATGATTTCTTCTTTTTCTTCATGCAGAATTTCATTGTCCAACAGCTGAATGAATCATCTTCCTATTTTCTTGGGCTCTCAGATCCAGGAGGTAATGACAACTGGCAATGGATTGATCAGACACCTTTCAAGAAAAATGTCAGGTGAGTGTACACATAAATTAAGGACCCACAGGGCCTTGTTTACATGGAAAATTTAGAAAAATTTTATTAGCAGTGACTTTTAATGTTAATAATTATAACAATGATAACAGCATCTAACATGTATTAAGTATATGTATTATCTCAAACTTCATAAAACCTTCTATCTCTTAGAACTAATTTTAAGGATGAAAAATTGAATAAATTATCCAAGACAATAAACCAATAAATCATAGCTTTGTACATTGACACATTTATGGGGTTTAGGGTACTACTTCGATATACAATGTAAAATGCTTAAATTGAACTAAGTAACACATCCATCACAATAATACTCTTTTCTTAATAGTTTTGAAATATACCATTACATCATGCACATTAGGTGAGGTCTCCCCCAATGCTCTCCCTCTTCCCATACCTCCCCTCCCCTCTCCTCTCTCTCTCCTCTTCCCTTCTACTTTCTGGACTATAGTTATGTTTTACCATTTGTATGAATGTGTAGGTGATTATATATTGATTTCATAGTAGTATTGGGTATATTGGATACTTTTCCCCCCCCATTCTTGAAATACTTTACTAAGAAGAATATGTTCCAGCTCCATCCAGGTAAATATAAAAAATGTGAAGTCTCTATCTTTTTTTGTGGTTGTATAGTATTCTATGGTGTACATATACCACAATTTGTTAATCCATTTATGGTTGATGGGTACTTGGGCTGTTTCCATGTCTTGGCTATTATGAATTGGGCTGCAATAAACATTCTGGTGCAAATGTCTTTGTTGTAAAATAATGTTTGATTATCCAGGTATACACTTAGTAGAGGAACTGCAGGATCGAATGGTAGGTCTACTTTTAGTTCCTTGAGTGTTCTCCAAACTTCTTTCCAAAAAGGTTGTATTAATTTGCATTCCCATCAGCAGTGTAGAAGCATTCCTTTCTTTCCGCATCCATGACATCTGTAGGTTGGGGATTTTG